GCAGGACCTTTGATCGGACCCCCTGGGGTTTGCCAGCATCGCTGTACGGCGTTTGTTCTCTGCCGGTGCGGCACTGACATTTAGCAACACCGTCTGCCTTCAGCGAAGCCCAGCGTGGACCCTGCTCATGAGATCTGTCCTCCAGAGATGCTGAGTTGTTCATTGGTATCATTCAACTTCTTCCCTTCCTGCAGAGGGACAAGAGAATGAGAAGGAGAAGGTTCTGGAGAAGGAAAACGTGCTGAAGAAGAGTGTGCTTTAACTCCATCGTGTTCTGCTGCCATCCTACCACTGAATGCAGCTGGTCTGCATCAGGGGAAAATAAACAGACTGTTTCTGCCTCAGTGAGTTTGTATCGGACCAGTGACAGGAGAAGGGTGTGTTTTGCACAGCCTTGCTCCTCCGGATGTCCAGTCACCGAGGCAGTTCCTCCTCCTTTGTAGAGACTACTGCTTTGGGAATTATCAGGGGGATGTTCACGCCAAAACAGGAGTAAAACCTTCCCTAATAGTCCAGACCCGAGTTAGTACAGATCCGTTGTCTCAGTTTTTGCCCTAGCAAGCACACAACGTGGCTGCAGCAAGGTTCTGTCCCTTAGCCCTCTGGTTTCTGCACATGGAGGTGGTCTCTCAGGTGTTCCTCCCTTTCGGTTTGCCTACTGCGAAACTCCCTGATCGCTCCTTTTCTCCTACCAGGGCATTCTCTTGGTGTACGACATCACTAATCGCTGGTCCTTCGATGGGATAGACCGGTGGATAAAGGAAATAGATGAGGTAAGTTAAACGGAAGAATGGGATCCATTCTTCGTGCAGTGGTCCATAGCGAAAACCCGTGGAGGTGCCACCTCTGATGCAGGGACAAGAGTGGCTCTGCTGTGGAGAGGAAATGATGGCAGTTTGCTGATAAGCAAAGTGAGGGGATAAGTGTCTGCCCTCCTCTTCCATATAAATCCGGAGGAGTAGGACAGGGCTCGGGAATGGTCAAGAAAGGTAGAAAGGTTCCCTCTAAAATGGATTGTAGAGGGGATAAATTAGTCTTCCTCATCATGTAGTGGTACTGCTTGGCAGTCCTTCTGGTTCACAGAGCAATTTCTGTTTCTTTGCCCTTCACTCTGTTGCAGCTAAGCAGAATACTGGGTGTAGGCCGCCCTTCCCGAGGACAAGCCCTGATTTCTCCACTTCTTTCCTTTTTTAAGCATGCCCCAGGCGTCCCTCGGATCCTGGTGGGAAACAGGCTTCACCTCGCCTTCAAGCGGCAGGTGCCGACGGAGCAGGCCCGGGCTTACGCGGAGAAGAACTGCATGACGTTTTTTGAGGTCAGCCCCCTGTGCAACTTCAACGTCATAGAGTCCTTCACGGAGTTGTCCCGTATCGTCCTCATGCGGCACGGCATGGAGAAGATCTGGAGACCCAACCGAGGTCAGTAGCGAGGAAGATGCTCCGTATAGGGAAGGCACCAGAGCTGGCTGGGATGAAATGGAGGGAGAGGATGGACTGCCTAGGTGGGAGCTGTATTTATTAGTAACTGTGGGATCTGAAAGCACCTGGAGAAACGCCTCGGGTCAGACAAGCTGAATCTGAGCCACGGCAAGCTGCCTGTGGTAGCACCGGGACCTGGCAGGCAGCAGTGAGGGATGGTCAGCTCAGCATGCCAGAGGATTTGAATTGCTCTGGGGCATCCTACACCCCTTGTTCTGGATGAGGCTGAGGGCCATTAAGCTCCCAACTTGAAAGTACTTCAATCAGATGGCTGTGTGGGATGAATCCAAGCGTAAGCACCTCTGTCCTTACCCTTGCCTGAGCCTGTGGCTCCTGTTTTGGAGGGATGTGGAAGCAGAGTGAGCCCAAAGACCTGAAAGGGACTAATTCTCATCCCTGCTGTCGGCAGGCAGCAGTGGGTTTGGGTATTCCAGATATCCAGGCACATGTGCTGCAGTGTGGCAAACCACAAGCAGACTCCACGTTACGTCTCAGCCTGTTGCATTCGGAGCAAAATAGTCTTAGGTCCGAATTTCCTGGCTGGAGGTAGCAATGTGCCCCACTGGCAGTCTGAGCAGTCTTCATCCATATGAAGGCAGGTCACCCCAGGAGTGC